ACGTCGGGGAGTTGCTGACCCCATCTACATAGTTTGAGGGTGGTGTATGGACTAAAGAGCAATATTTTATGCATGCCACCCAAGATTCAGATCATGGAGTTCAATGAAGTACTGATAAAGTTTATATATAGAAGAGGAAAGGGAAGGCAGTAGATGATTTTAAGCAAATGCGATAGAGCCTACACGGCATAGGCACAGAGCGACGCTCGCCATATTCACAACCGTCGTATTATGGAGAATCTTGCAACCAATAGCAATACGGTCATAGTTGGTCATTCTTCTTCGACGAGCAGTACGGTGATCGATCTTATGATACAAAGCAATAGATCAGTGGCAAAAGTAGGAGTTCCAGCATTCTCCAACATCCGCACCAATACATCCCACAATCGTACTTGCCTTAGGAGCCGTCTCGGACACGTGTGGTTCACGATAATCAAACTACAATCATCACCGCATTGCTAAAGATCATGGGATACAGTGTATCCCATATTGCTAAACCAATTGCATACAGTGTATCAATATACTATATCATGGGATCCATTTCAGGATTGGGTTTGATAAAAATATAAAATTGATATACAGATATATAAGATCAAGGACTTCGATCCACCGCCCGTGGAGTCCCTTTTTTTTATGGTTGAACTAGGTATATTTTGTTATGCAATTTCATCTACCAAAAAATTTGACCATTCATGAAATAATAAGAAGTCTAAATTCTCTAAAAATCAACTTCCACTCTTGCCCTACAAAACCTCCCAAGCTAGACATGTCTGTCACGAGATTTCACAAATTAGTAGTTTCTGAAGAATTTGAACAATGTGAATATAATGCTTTGGAGAATTTTTCCTATCCTGATTGATTCCAGAATAAGCGGATAAATTTATAACAAGTATGCATGAATACAAAGAATTCAATAAGAGCAATCCAGTTTCATTGGATGGTATCTACAGGTTTAGCTCCATGATGGAGAATATGCATCTCAACATGAATGTAAAGAGACCTTCAAAGCAAGGTTTAAAAACTTGGTTCAGTTTCAGCAGTACAAGTTCGACATGGACCGATATTATAACACATAGCACCATAGTTATTAGAAGTTTAGAACCATGCCAGGATGTGACCTGATCAAGCCTTGGGTCACTGGTCGGACCAATCGATCGAATAGCATTTTTAATTTAAAAATAATTTAAAATATATATAAATTAAAATTATATATAGTAAAAAATATAAAATATTAATAATTTAGTAATAAATAATTTTATATAAATGAAAGTAAAACATCAATTGTATTTATAATGACAAAAATAATAATATCAACAAACATTATAAACATAAATGCTTATCTATAACGTATAACAAAATATAAAATATATAACCAGTTGATGAGGAGATAAAAGGTGTAGAACCAGTTGTTGACCGAGAACATGACATAATCTTTCTTTTCCAAAATATAAAATATTATTTGGTATTATGACACAACAATTTGAGTATATAATAATTAAATAAACAAATAAGCTCAATGCAACATAAGAAACTAATACTACTTATCATAGGTTTCACCGGAATTAACAAAAGGAACGAAAGAATGAAAGAACATTAAGATGGATGCTATGCAAAATTAAAACATACCACACGGGAAGTAAGAGCACAAAATAAATGACCATCAGGCAAAGTGAATGGAGAGGTGGCTAGAGGGAGGAAGGTAAGGCTAAACCTATTTTATTTGTAACATTAACCTTAATTTTATTATTGACATAAATACACTCTTAAGCAAGGTTCGCAATACCGTACCATACCGGTATTTCGACCTGGGCTCGGTACCGGTACGGTATGATATACCGGGCGGTACACCCAGGTGTACCGAGCACTGTAGCACTGCTACAGTGTACTGCTACAGTGCTCGGTACACCTGCAGACTTGCAGGTTTGCTGTTGCAGTTGCAGACTTACAGTGCACTGCACTGCTACAGTGCACTGCAAGTCTGCAACAGTGCACTGTACTGCTACAGTCGGACCGGTACTGGGCGGTCCACGTACCGCTGGCCTGTCGAACCGGTACGTACCACCTGTACCGGGCTGTCACGGACAAACTTTGAAACAGAATGTTTGATGTAATGCTTATATCTGTCCGTGTCTGTTGGCATGTTCATGCCTTGTACAGCGTGTAGAGGGGCAGCCGAAGGCTTATAAGTCCCATTTTAGTTGGATGGTGGCCTCTTTAGGCTTGTAAATAAAGGTTGTGTCATGTGGACACGTGCGAGAGCTTTTCGGTCTGTAATGGACCATTTTACCCTTTGTTGTGCCACTGTTCAGAGCTTGTAAAGTCTGTTTGTAATTTGCATTGTCTATGAAGTGTTTTTCAGAGATGTTTGCTTGTGGATCCCGATTGAGGCGTTCTCTCTAACCCGTTCTCTCTTTTGGTGGTCCTAAGGGACAATGGGAGGCTTCGGGGAGGCTGACCTTTGCGGACGGACACGCAAGGGTGCCGCACGACTTAGGCAAAACCAGCTAAGTCCGTGTCAGGGCGGTACGATTCGGTACGACAAACACTGCTCTTAAGTAAATAATAAAAAGATATAAGTCAAGGGTATTTGAGCACTCTTCCACTATATTACAAAACTGGAATGGTCTTATGTAACCCAATCGGTTCACACGGGTTATCTAAAAACCAACTGGGTCAATTGGTTCATTTAGGTTTTTCAACACATTTGATGTGAATCGGATTGATAAACATTTTGGTTTCTAATTTTTCTGGTCCGACCACCTGGTACGGTCCAATTATGATAATTGTGCTCAACACTAATCGATATTACTCTAAACCAAGAGTAGGGGAGGCAAGAGGGGAGAAGAGGACTAATGAAGAAGGAAAAAAAGGACGAGAAAAAGTGGAGGAGAAAGGGGATGAGGCCGACAAGTACCAGAGGTGGAGGAAGAAGTGCATTAGCAACAAAAAGGTCGTGAGGGTAACAGAGAGGTGTGAAGAAACTTAGAAATCATGGGGGAGATAGAGAGAGTAGCAAAAGAGTAAAACAAAAAAGATAGCCATCAAAGGTTGTAAAAAGAAAATGATACATGTACTGATGAAAGCAAGGTTCGCAATACCGTACCGTACCGGTATTTCGACCTGGGCTCGGTACCGGTACGGTACGGTATATCGAGCGGTACACCCAGGTGTACCGAGCGGTGTGGCGAGTACTGTAGCACTGCTACAGTGCTACAGTGCACTCGGACCATGGTCCGCATACCGACAACCTGTCGGACCGGTACGTACCGCCCGTACCGGATGGTATGGTTTGGTACGGCAGACCCTGGATGAAAGCACCCTGATATGGTAATCATCCAAGAAGTTGTCAAAGGTTGTCAAAAAAAATGATAGAGGTACTAACAATAGTACCCTGATATGGTAATCATACTAGATGGTAAGCTTGGTCTCGAATCAAACCACAGTTATCATAAACAAATTGAACAAGGTGGTCAAACTAGAAAAACCATGAATCGAACAATTAACCAGTCTGATTCACCTATTGGATCGGATGTATTAAAAAAACTGGAATGAACCAATTGATAACTCGCAGGAAGCAGGCAGGTTACATAAAATTGAATTGGTTTTGTAATCCAACGGGAGATTACTTAATACCCTTGACATAATTTTTTTATTATTTATTTAAGAGGGTATTTATGTCAATCATAAAATTAATGTTAACGTTAGAAATAAATTAGGTTTAGCCTTACCTTCAATTTTGCTTAGCATCCATCTTAATGTTCTTTCATCATGCATACATGTTTTAATAATTGATTGCTCTCGTCTCTTTTGTTAATCTTAGTGAAACCTATCATGGATGAATAATATTAATTTTAGTTGTTACTCAAATAGTTGTGCCATAATAATAAATAATATTT